AAGCAGGGTATCAAAAATGAAGGCCGCAACAGAGTATCAATTGCATTCAAGACTGCCTCTGATGCTAACAATTTCATTGATTCTCAATTCCTGATACAACATAAACTTGCTGCAACTATTCCCACCTTCAACGTAACTCGTATGGGTGTGGTTAGGGGAATCCCAACTGACATTTCAATGGAGGAATTAGTTGCAGAGTCAGAGCTCCCCTCTGGGAGAGGGGAAATTATTAAAGCCAGAAGGCTCCACAGAAAAGTTAAAAAGGGTGATGAAGTGGAGTGGGTTCCAACCCAAACTATTGTCCTCACCTTCTCCGGTCAAGTGCTTCCCGGTCCCGGTCGAAACCTACCTCCTTCCCACCATTCAATGTATGAAATGCTGTCGTTTTGGACATGTAAAGGCTCAATGCCGATCAAAACCTTGTTGTTATAAATGCACAAAGGAACACACTGGGGAAAACTGCCTTACAGACACACCAACCTGTCTTTACTGCTCTGCCAAACATATGGCAACTGATAAAAGCTGCCCCGAACATTCTCGCCAGAAAGCAATTAAGTTAGTAATGTCACAAGAGAATGTCTCGTATCTGGAGGCTTCTGCTCGCTTTCCAGCCGTCAGAAGACCATATGCGGACGTTGATTCTTCTCAAGTCTCCATGAGTAACAATTCCTCTACCCAGGCTCCTAGCACTCCCTCCTCTCGCCTTTCTCCCCAATCCTACAGGAAAACCATTCTAAAAGTCAAAACCATTCCAGTGAGATCTACAGTTGGTTATGATAGAATTTCTCATTCCAACATAACAAGAACTCCTACCTCCTCCTTGCCCAATGGACATGCTTTGCAGTGCAATGTTACTCCTAATGACAACCTTTTAGAAAACCTTGTGGCATCCCTTTCGGATATTGTCGGCAAATTTGATGATGTATATCTACCGTATAACGTGAAAAATAAACTTGACACCCTTTTCTCAAAATTGTACAAAATTACTAAACCTCCTTCAATGGAATTGTCGGAGCATCAGGAACAAGAAATCTGACTTAATTTACTTAATCAACACTTACAATCCTTCAATCCTTGCAATTGCGGAAACCTGGCTCAAGCCAGGCTCTACGTTCTTGATCCCAGGCTTCTCCTGTTATCGTAGTGATCGGAATGATGGTTATGGTGGCACTATGATACTACTAAACAGGACCATTCCTTCCAGTCCTGTCCTTCTTCCTCAAGTACAAGATAACATTAATGCCGTAGCCATTAAAGCTATGGATATAACCATTGTCTCAATTTATGTATCATCCCCCACTCCCTCATGTATCCCTGAAATAAACTTGATCCTATCTAGCATTTCCCCTCCTTTTTCATACTTACTGCTTGATGTTTTTAATGAATTCAATCTTTGTCTTCTAAATGATGGTTCTCCTACCAGAATGTGTTATCCCTCCCATAATCCTAGATCTGTAGTTGATCTATCATTATGCTCTCCATCCCTGGCTGCCAGTATGTCATTTCAAACACTACCTTCTTGTTTTGGAAGTGACCATTATCCCATCCTGTTAAACCTGTCCAATAGATGTACTCCTCCCAGAAATACAGCTCCTCTTTTAAAATTCAATTTGTCGGAAGCCAACTGGGAAGGATTTACCACAGAATCAGAATGTAGTATTCAGAACTTTCCTACTGTTACATCCCAAAACCTACATTCTGTATATAATCAGTTCATAGCAATATTAAATACTTCAGCCTGCAAAATTTTTCCATTGAAAATACACATCCCCTAAGAAACTATCTTCACCTCCATGGTGGGATTCTGAATGCTCCTCGATCATCAGAAAACGCAAGGCAGCGGAAAGGTTATATTCCTCAAATATGTCAATGGAAAATTTCTTAAGTTACCAAAAAATTGCCGCTGAATCCAAAAAACTTCTTTCGGAAAAGAAAAAAAAAGGGATGGCTTTCATTTTGTGAGAGTCTATCCCCTCGATCTCCTTCTTCCTTAGTTTGGAAAAATATCAGACGTTTTCGCGGAGCTTTAAATGTCAATAATTCCTCCTGTGCAGATCCTTCAGAATGGCTAAACGACTTCTGTTGCAGACTGGCTCCTCCATGGGTTCCTATGGAGGAAGAGATATTTCCAACTGCAAAACGTTTCCCCTCCCACTCTCCCAGCATCCCAAATAACCTTAATGAACCATTCTCTTTAGAAGAATTAAAGTTAGTGCTCAGCCACCTCAAGGACTCCTCACCTGGCATTGACGGTATTCCCTATTCATTTATGGTTAATATGGGCTCTTCATGTCAACAGATCTTTCTTAACATCATTAATCAGGTTTTTACGGCAGGTCCTATCCCAGATGACTGGAAAACCCATATTATTATACCCATTTTAAAGCCTGGAAAAGACCCCTCTTCAGCATTAAATTACCGCCCTATTGCTATCTCATCAACCTTATCTAAAGTCATGGAACATCTCGTAAAGAATCGACTGGAGTGGATATTAGAAAATAGGGGCATTCTGTCAAGGACTCAACTTGGTTTTAGAAAAGGTTTTAGCACAATGGATAGCCTTAGTATCTTAGTATCAGACATAAGACTTGCATTTTCCAACAATGAGTATCTTGTAGGCGTCTTTGTGGATGTTCGTTCGGCCTACGATGATGTTATTCTCCCGCTGCTCAGGCAGAAAATGCAACAGCTGAACATCCCGGAGAGAATCACAAATTTCGTGTCAAACCTGCTTTCGCAGAGGCGCATATTAGTTCGCTCTGAAGGCAAGCTCACATCACCTAGACCTGTCTGGAAGGGATTACCTCAAGGCTCAGTTCTGAGCCCCTTGTTATACAGCCTTTATACATATGAACTCGATAGATCTGTAAACTACTTAGCTAATGTCCTACAGTATGCTGATGACTTAGTCTTATATGCATCCGACATTTCCTTTGACCAAGCAATCTCCCGTCTATCCCAAGCAGTTAAATTCCTCAACTTTTGGCTTATAGAACATGGTTTGTCCATTTCAGCTAGTAAGAGTAACTCAGTAGTATTTACTAGACGAAGGTTTTCCCCAGATGTGCCTATCCATATTGATGACTCTCTTATACCTTCTCAGACTCAAGTGAAATTTTTAGGAGTATTTCTAGACAGTAAAATGACAGGTATCCCACATTTATCCTATGTAGCTGCTAAATGTGAAAAAAATTTAAATGTCATCCGATCTCTATCAGGCTCCTGGTGGGGCTCCCATCCTTATTCCCAAAAGCTTTTATATAATGCATTAATAAGAAGCCATTTCGACTATGGTTGTTTTTTACTGGAGCCATGTAGTAAAATGGCACTTAACATACTGGACAAAATCCAGTCAAAATGTCTCAGAATCATAACAGGAGCAATGAAATCTACTCCTATCCTCGCTCTCCAAGTGGAATGTGTCGAGCCTCCTCTTTTTCTCCGAAGACAGTATTTATCAGACAGATTTTTATTTAAAGCTGCCCGTTATTCGCACCATCCTCTCCTATCCAAACTACATTCCCTTAACCGGTTAGTCAAGCGATCCCAATATTGGTCACATAAGGATTTGCCATGCATTATAAAAAGCTATTCCAAACTTGTCAATCTTCCTTCTCCAATCTCCAAGTCACTTAGGAACCCTCTCTACAATATTCCCTATGAGGCCCTAATATATAAGCCAGACATATTTTTAAATATTGGCATTTATAAGGACAGCACTGAACCAAATCTTAAATTAAACATGATTCTAGCTGAAAAGTGGGTTGACTGGGTGATTATGTTCACAGATGCCTCAAAGGTCAGCGAAAAAGGTTTAGTAGGATCCGCAGTGTGGATATCTAAATATAAAATTATTTTAAATTTTAATTCCCCTTATGACCCTTCTGTATTCACAGGTGAGTCATTGGCTATATTAGAGGCAGTTTTGTATGCTGAATCTCACAGCCTGAAAAAAACTCTCATATTATCAGATTCCCTTAGCTGCTTACAAAGTATTGCTTCCAGCCCATTTCAATTAAAAGTAAAATACCCATTAATTTTAAATATCAGAGTCTCTATTCAAATGTCATAAAAAGGGACTAAAGATTGTCTTGGCGTGGATACCTGCTCACTGTGGGATTCAGGGCAACGAGGTTGCTGATCGGATAGCTAAGGAAGCAGCTAAATCTGGATTACTACCCAAACACAATATTTACTCATATGACCTCATGTCGAAGGCTAACTTAAGTTTACACTCCTCATGGCAAACCATTTGGCATCAGTCAAAACTTATAAAATGTAAAAATTATGCTAATGTCCAAAATAATATCCCCCTAAAACCTTGGTTCTTTAAAACCCGTCACTTTAGTAAAGTGATTACCTCAACTGTTTGCCGTCTCCGATTCGGTCACACCTGCACACCTGTACACCTAGCTAAATTAAGGATTAGGGATACGTCAATCTGTGAATGTGGGTTAGGCGAAGGAACAGTTAACCACCTGTTTTTTGAGTGCCCCAAGGTCTCCTTCTCCTTTTATGATATACTCCCTAACTACATCCCTCGTCCTACTAATTTCTCATACTTACTGTCCCTTGTGTTTACTCCCTTTGTAAATATTTTGTGTGATTATATTAGAACTAATAAAATTAAGTTGTAAGATTACTAACATGGTGATGGTTATAAACTTGTGGCGTCTTTTGTTGTAGATTGTGAAGACCTACACAAACAATAATAACTTGTAACTATTGTAAACACTCTCTTGTCACTCCCATGTAACAGTATTAGTATGTAGTACTCCCATGTAACCATGTAACAGTAACTTTTATAATAAAAAAAGTATTTCGAATTTCTCCTGTGTATTTTCTTCTACGACAAGGGGAAGGGGGAAGGGGTGCAAATGTACAAATACTGATATAAAAAATTGTAAATCATTTTTTTTAAATCATCATGTATTTGTTTGGAATTACATTCATCGCGTATCGTCACATATAAGTATACTTGACATTTGATTTTATCAAATTTACGCAAAAAGTTTCTCGCATTTGTTATACCAATTCCTGGGAACGGATTTCGAAATATTTTGCCATTTAATCACTATGTAAGCAGCTAGATCGACAATAGTTAATTCATTCTTATAAATAAAATTTTTACATTGCGAAAATAATTTGCTCACAATCTCTTCCTTGTTTTTTCCCGACGTTTTTTCTAATAAATGACATTGATCGAGTAAACCATCAACGTAGTAATCGTTTTGATCGTATGGAGCGACATGCGTATAATGCAAACAAAGATAACGCAATATATTTACAATGCCCACCAAAGGCACATCCAGGGATGACATTCTTAACTCTGTAGCTGAAACTGAAAACAAAGTCATTAGAGATATATGTATTTAGTCAGTAATTACTTACTTATAACATAGCATTATTTAATATGTAGAAAATGAGTTCTGGTTTTTTTTTTATAGGATAGGGTGACAAACGAGCACACAGTCCACCTGATAGTAAGTGGTTACTGTGACCCATAGACATCTACATCTATCCTCAATAAAGACTCAAGATGCAGATGCGTTGTCACCCGTGAGGACTAAGATGGAATGCCTCTTTGCCAGTAAAAAGGGTCTCCGGTTCTCTACACTCACCATACGAAACACAGCAGCGTTAAGCTGCTATTTTACGCTGGTTTTCTGTGAGAGCGTGGTCCTTCCCCGGTCGAGCCGAGCCATTCGTGCTACAACCATAATATAGCTGCAGCATGGCTCTACCACGTATATAATTTTTTTTTTTTGGTGCCACCAATCAGGCACTGTCGAGGGTTCGGATCATTATATTGACCCATAATCATAAAATTTATGATTATGGGTCAATATTAATATAGTCAATACAATAAGATATGACACTCCACAATTTATTTAATAAATTGTGGAGTGTCATGTCGAGCCTTACAATGCCCCATTCGGTCAGTCCAATTTTTCAGTACATTATTGATTGTTTGGGCCTCAATTTCGTCAATTGCAACTTCGATTTCATGTTTCAAGTCGTCAATCGCCTCTGGATGGTTAGCATAACACTTGTCCATAACGGCTCCCCATAAAAAAACGTACAACGTCAAATCGCAGCTTAGAGGTGGCCAATTGACAGCAGCGTTTCGGCTGATTATGCGATTTTCGAAAACAGTGTGCAAAAAATCGATTGTTACGTGGACCGTGTGGCACATCCTCTTCAATTTTGGGAAACCAAAAAATCGCTTAGCATGGCGCCGCCATTCACTGTAACGGCGTTACGTTGCTCATTTTCGAAGAAAAATGGCCGTGGATGTATTAGTTTCTCCACGATGACGTGTGGATTTTCTCAGCCCCCTGATACGACAGTTGCTTATTGACGCAATTTTGCTTATTGAGCTTCATCTGATAAGATGATTTTTCGGTAAAAATGCTCATTTGCGATCAAGCGGTCCACCCATTGAGCAAATGGACAACGCATCGCATGGTCATGCGGCTTCAGCTGTTGCCCTAATTGAACTTTGTACGCATTCATACCGAGATCTTTATGCAAAATTCTTCTCAAAGAAACGCATTAAATGTTCAGGTCTTGAGAACGATGACGAGTTGATGTTAATGGTTTTTCACGCACTCTTTGAGCAACAGCAGCTATGTTTTCGGTTGAGCGCACTGGACGATTAGATACAAGGGTTGCTTTATCCAACAACGATCGAGTTTCACAAACTAGCTTCACAAATTGATCCACAAACTGCGTTTTTGGCACATCCTTTTGCCAAAGCAAAAGTTGCCACGCTTGACAGGCGGCTTGGCAGCCGTAGTTTTTTTAATTTTTTAGTTTTTATTAGGAAGACTCAGCCATCCATTTTCTGATTAGCGAAAGAGGGAAACACCCTCTGTTACCTCTTATGACACCCACAGGATGAAATGTGTGGTATTCTTGTAGTGGATATTCTTTCACCTCCGCTTTATGGATGCATTAAATGTTGTTTTGCGTCATTATATTAATTTTATTAATTTAAAATAAGGTATGTTACATTTAGTTAACATGCTACCATTACAGGCTTGAATAAGCATATGCTTTATCTCCTTTATGTGTGCTTCTGGAATTCGTGTTCCTTACAATACATACCTAGAAAATCAGTAGTAGAATGACCGTAAGACATATTCTATTTTTAGTGCTATAAGACCTACGGATCTACCTACAAATGTAAACGTAAAAAAAGCTATCAGGGAAAAGGAACTCCGGAAACTAATTAGTGATCACATGACACAGTGACAGATTATAAAATATAAAAGATAGTGAAACTTACCAGGTTTAAATATCAGCCTCAATTTTATTTTTCCATCAAAAGCCATTGGATATATCTCCTGGTAACTTTTGAAAAATTCCTTAATTGCTAAACTGTTTTCATTAGACACAGATGAATGAATATGCCATGTTATATATAACCCAGGACTATTCTTTAAAAATACATGGAGGAAATAGGGCAAGTTCTCAGGACTTAATACAATAACAATTTCTGTTGAGTTTTGTGCCTGTAAAAAGTTATAAGAATCAGTTTAATGAATACTTCAAAAAAACTTGGCGTGCTCAGTAGATTGAGACGATTGAGGAATTGGTCGGATTAATTCCAGCTGCTGAATCCCACCATCGCACACTGTGACAGAAAGCGAAATTTCATCTTCATCATCTCAATGGCTGGTGGTCCACTACTGTGCGATTTACGCGCAATTTTCTGCCTCGCACAACCAAACTGTGAAATATACTGTGTCCAGTGGTTTTTCCGGACCATTATGACTTAGGGACCTTCAAGAAAAGAGCATACTCCTTCCTAAAAGGCAGGCACCGCAACTGCAATTCCCCTGGTGTTGCGGATGATGAGCTATCACTTACTATTAGGTGAGCCGCATGTTCATTTGCTTCCTCTACCAACAAAACAAAATATATCGAAAATGTTATTTGATATAGAAGGATCATACATGAGGACACATCTGATGGTAAGTGAATGCCCAGTACAGCAGTCAATATATCAAACACAGCAGCATTATGTTGGTATTTCAAGCTTGCATTCTGTGCGAACAGGTGCTAGTTGTATGTGAGCATGCTTAAGCACAGCGATCGGAGCAATATCGGAACTGTCTCTACACACACGCCTGCTGTTCAGAATGAGTGTACGTCTCGCTGGACACACGCGTTGAGACTGGCGCCATTTTTCTCGAAATATCAATAAATCGGTATATATATCCTTGGCTCTTTTTATATAGAATAAGGGTGACAAATAAGCACAGTCCACCTGATGGTAAGTGGACACTGTGGCCCATAGACACCCACATTTATCAATAAAACAACTAATTAATTAATAATTACAAGCATAATATATTGCTTATAAGCTGCAGCATAGCTCTGCCACGCTATTTTTAGGCTATCAAAGACAATTAAATATGAGTAACTTCACTCGTCATAATTTAATATACTTAACCAATTTATTCTGTGATATAACTTAACTAACTAGTGCTTAGTAACTATTATTTAACTAGTGTTACAAATAGCCAGGGGAGTTTTCTAATGATGAGTTTTAATAAATTTAATTACTAAAATTTGTATTTTAGTTTAATTATTTAGTTAATGACATTTTATTTATATTTCAGCAATTTTAATACTATTGGAATATTTTCTTTCCAATACTAGCCCTTATAAGTTAGGTAACAAATCCTAGTAATGTTACTTGTAAGTTACAACATTCAAATAACGTTCTTTCTGCGGTTCTGACTTGTACTCATACGTGTGCTCCGCGCGAAAGTTGCAACGAACTGATTGAAATTGCCCCAATTGCGCTACACACGCGACAGCGGCAGGACCGATCTAGGGAGCAAGGAAGGTCTTGCGCTCCTGCTGCCCTGCCGCAGGGCCGATTTAAAAATTGCCCCTGCTTGCCTACACACATCACAATTAAGGAGGCAATAAAGGGTCATCCCCACTCCTACACCCTAGATTGCCCCTGCGGCAGGCACGTCAGTAGCCGCATTTAGAGAACACATAGGTAAAAGATGAAAGAAAGAGAATGTTGACGAGTATGAACAGTAAGCACAGGTATCAACAGTTTTGAAATTGCGAGAGCAATGTTATTAGTCCCGAAAGGACACGCGCGCTGATTGTTTCACTAGTCGGTATTTACTTGAATTTTAAGTTACCATAATTAAATGTGGAGTAACAAGCTGTAAAAACGATTCAAAATTGAGGCGATCATCAAGCAGTTAAAAATTTATTTAAGGAGCACTAAAATAATTCGATTTTAATGTGTGTTTAAACATTGTTTTATAAATTCATAACTGTGTTTTATTGATCAGCTAAAACCTACCATATAATTACCCACCTACCTAATACTAAGTACAATACTTAAGTAAAATAATGCTAACACATTGGCGCATCACTTTTCAACCACTCTTACTGCGTATATATATATATATATATATATATATATATATATATATATATATATATATATATATATATATATATATATATATATATATATATATATATATATATTATAATATAATGGGCTTGGCATAATGGGCAATGAGCGAAGCGAAGCGAAAAAACTAGACTAAGCAGTATCATAAGCTCAAGGTAACAACTAGAACATTGTCTAAGTAGTTACAATTACATAAAAAATTCATAACTTTTTATGGTATATATATTTCCTTCTAATTTAAATGGGACTTGAGGGTAGTATAGCCTAATTAATAAAATAAAAGATAATAGAAGTCCTCACATTTTGTATCTCTCCAGATGATATATAATTTGTCTGAAGATCCAGTTTACACATAGAACTGATGGCTTTTATTCTCTCATAAAGTAAATCCAATTTCTGTAACAACTGACATTGTCTTTGTTCTAATTCAACCATTTTATTGTTTGGAGCTTCCTGAAGAAAATAAAAAAAAATTATAAGTTTCACTTTCTACTAATAATAAAAAAAAAAACAGTATTAACATCTATACAAATAAATAAAATTTAAGTGTTTTTGTAATACCAAAATAACAGTTTTTTACTAAATACATATGAAAGTGTATACAGTACTTAAAACAAAAACACAGTTTTTAAAATTTTTGTCTGTCTTTCTGTCCGTCTGTCTGTCTGTCTGTTTGTTCCGGCTAATCTCCGAAATGGCTGGACCGATTTTGACGGGACTTTCACTAGCAGATAGCTGATGTTATAAGAAGTAACTTAGGCTACTTTTATTTTAGAAAAAGAATTAGGGTTCCGCGCAAAATAATTAAAACCCTAAATTTAACCCAGGCGAAATCGCAGGGAACAGCTAGTTTTCAAATAAATCTCTTTTACTGACTACATGCTAATTTCATTCCCCATTATTTAGGTACACAAAAAATGTTTCGAAAGGAATGTAAAAAACCTACAATGGATTTTTAGGGGGGTTGGGTACAGATGAACCTTCTGAGGTAGGGGGAGGTTCCAACCAAAGATAATAAATTTCACACTGGAAAGCTAAACTAGTTCATGTAGAGGCAGTGAGAGAATGTCATTCATTATCATTGATTAGAGTACATTGCCATTTAGAAGTAACTAAGAGAAACAGATAGAAAGCCAGGAAATGAGCAATAGCATTCTCCTAAAGAAGAATCTCCAGCGGAGGTTCTATTGCTATCTTCGACGACTGAATCTGCCAACATTTAATGCAGCCATCCTAATGACTGACTTCAAGATTCTGGGAGAAGGAAGAAGAGATAGATAAGTTGCACTGAGATATAATAGTAAAATCTAAGGTATCAAAAGACAGGACACAGTAATCCTATAATTTAGCAACTAATTCTATCATCGGCCGAATTTCAAGGCTCCTATAATTTATAAAGTGGCCGGGGGTTACCAATAGTACACGCAATACTTAAATAAGTTTGACTGAAGTGAGCAACGTCACCGATCCTGAGAAAAAGTGAAGTTACATATTTTCCAAAAAAATTACAAACAAATGTTTTTTTTTTGTTTTATTAGGTATTACTTATAAAATTGCATCTTGGAAATGGAATCAGTTTCGTCTTTTTAAGAAAGTAGTGCCAATGTTTACGAGGAATTGCTGTCCAAAGGACATTTGAAAATTAGGTATTTGAAGAAACTATCGCTGGCGCTCTGCTAGCACTCGGCATCCCATAAGGACAACTGCAAATCCGAATAGTCATTTCCTCCTGCAATATTTGATCAATTTAAAAGATATTTCATAAACTGAATAAGAAGGATATACACTGTGTCCCTGTTTTTCTTTTCTCAGTGTAAGTTTTCAAATTTAAACACTAGGCCTCTGTTGACAGCGGTCTAAGTAGGCAATTTTGAGCATTTTGTAAGATCTAGTACTTATAAAGGTAATGTATTATCAAAAAGAAAAACATAGAGACATAGAAGTTGATATTTATTTTACTGTAAAAACTCATTGCTATATGTAAGGTCATAAACACAAAAGAAAACAGGCGAGAGCGTTTGTATGGAGAAAAGATCACCCTCATTCCCTCTTAATACAAACCAAAAATAAATTATTGGATCTAGTACATAATATAAACTATAAATAGAGAATTGTTTACTAGACAGCATAAATACGATAAAAATAGATAAATTTTACATTATTGAATTAATTATACATAATACTATTGAAATAAACCTTAAGAAACTTCATAACCTGGTCACTGATATTGATTTCTATATCATCAATTTTTATATTATTATTCGGATTTCTTAAATAATACATGCACTTAGATAGTATTATGTTGTCTTCAACGGGAACAATAGTTTTCATGTGATACATTTTGAGTTTTCAGAAATGGGAAACTTATACCACAGAACACTAATACCCTTAGGTCCAGTGCACTACCCACACCCATAGATAAATATATATGTAGCATTAGCAAGTAGCAAGCAAAGAGAATATAATCACTAGTAGCAAGCTACAGATGCGACAGTGACTTTTAGTCAAGTTTCCTAACTACGCCTTATGGCGCTGCAGTCGCCCATTTTGACAGAAGAGTAATAAAATAAATAAATAAAAAAAATATATAGCTTAGAGATTGCAAGCACACATCCTTCAAATCATCGATATCGATGTTTAGTGGTGTCCTTATTTCATCGATATCGACAGAAGTGCATTATACAGGAATAATAATATTACTTAATGAAACACTTTTATTCAAGCACACCAATATCATATACATACGTAATCTTAGGATTAAATTAAAGCCATATTAAGTTATATAAACAAATTAGAAAATTGTACATAACATTGTACATAAATAAGTACAATTTGACGAGAAACAGAGCAAATTAAACCACATGAATTATATTTAAGTGCTTATATTTTACTTTTCAAGTTACTTTTTATTAGAAGCAATGCTATTTATTTTTCATGTAGGGTAAACCTGGCCATTTTTTTTACAAAATTGTTTTAATTGTATTAATAAGAAAGTTATTTGTTTAACATATAAAGGTTTTCAAATAATTCTCTACAGTTTTAAAATAGATTGGACATTAAGCAAGTCTTTGTGAGGATTGTTCACCTACAACTTACAATCTTTTTTAAATTTTAACATCTCTTCTTTTATTTCATTTTCTTCACCACGTAACCTGAAAAGAAATATATAAAAATAAAGTCCAATATTCATATTTTATGACTGAATGATAATCATAAATCACATATTATTCATATTAAGGTAACAAAGGGCGGCTTCATGGCAGTTGGCATTTTCTTTCGGTCAGCCATGGTGTGGTGAAAATAAAGTGGTAGATGCAGTAAATAAGAAATAAAAAATATATAAATATTAACATTGTATACATCCATTATCAGGAGCTTTTTCAATGTCTTCAGGCACAGAGTTCCAAATAAGTGTAACTTTAATACTAAAGGAGTTGTTGATAAAACCATTGAAGTGTAGTGGAACTGTAATCTTTAGATTAGATGAAGAATAAAGAATTCTTATTGTGATTTGAGAATAGATATGCTGAATATAGATATAATAGATATGTTGAAATTTGGCCTAATTATGTCTAAGAATAAATTGAATTTATCATACCATTTTGCCAATGTGTACATTTTGTATCTTCTGGCAGCATTTGTCTCACCACATCAGCATTAGATTTCTATTCCTGAAAACAAACAATATTTGTGAATTTTATGCTCTTATACATAAACCCAAAATTAAAGAATAAATATATAATGTATACATCTATATTGTATGTATTAACTCTGTATGGCTAATGTTAACGACAGTTTAGTATAATCGTAATTAAAAAGTAATCTATATTATCATATAACTAAGTTATATGGTAACATAAATTACTTTTAAAAAGAACATTTATCTCTTTGGTGTTGGTACTTTCACTTGAAGGTTGTTCCATGATAAGCATCTGAAAAATAAACAAATATCGACATCAACATTAAAAATAACAAGTATGCTCAAGATGCTAATAGCGTAATATAGCATAAAATCGACTCCGCGCTATAGAAGCATATTCTAGGTTGCTACAGACCTGAGATTTTTAGGGAGTAACTTTCTTTATTTATTTATTTCTACCTCTGTCTTTACAGGCGTACCTAATACGACAGTGTAGGCACATAAAACTATCTAATTTAATAAGGATAGAACACAACTTATCTACTATTATAACATAATACATAATATAATGTCACTTAGGTAAATTCACCCAAGGAACAGCAGAATAAATCTACATCCTGAGCTACTTTATTTAGTGTGCAGCAATCGGGTCAGTGGGCCTCGTTTAGAAGGTACGTGCGCGCGGTGTCTTGAATGGTGGGGGCCGCTTCCGGCATCACACGTACCTTTCCGGCACACACAACATACCCATTCGCAATATCGCCTCGTTATATACTTGGTTTGCGGGGACCTGAAACAGCGTTTACGTTTCAGGAATCCGAACATTCTATTTAACCACCGTCATCATTACAGCGCTTCACAAGTCCACTTCTGAACGTAGGCCTCCCCCAAGAAATGCCACAAAGCACGGTCCTAAGCCACCTGCATATCCAGGTCGTCACTTCATCAACATTTTATTTACTTAAATATTTTTTTCTTAACCTAAGACTTTTATACTTCTTAAAGGCCAATTTTTGGGGTTCACCCATTTTAGATACATATTTTTCATCAATATCACCCTTCAATATTTTATTATTTATGTTGCACCAATTGTGTGCCCACACCACAGAACAGAACACTAATACCCTTAGGCGGGAAGAATGTCAACTTCAAACAAAGAGAATGGCACCCATAACCACCCACATACTAGGCTTGGGCAAAAATATCGATGTATCGAAATATCGATATTTTTTAATAAAATATCGATACATAACATCGATATTATAAATCGCGATATATCGATATTTATTTTAGAATATTGATTTCGTATCAATTTCTATATAAATTCAAATTTTAAAATGTTGTATTAATGACAAAACATGTACAAACATATGTGGTTAGTTGTCGTTATTTTTTTCATCGTCCAACCGTCAGTAATATAAAATTTTAGACCTTATCTTTACATAATGCAAAGGATGACGATATATCAATATATCGATATTGACTGCCTTGTTGGTCTATTGGTTGTAGTAGTGCGACTGCTGATTACGTGGTCCCGGGTTCGACTCCCGATCGGATCAAAAAAAAAATCAATTATTGAGTTTTTCCATCAAGAAATTCTCAGTAGCTGCCCGGAGTCAGGAAGTTGGCAGTGTCTCACCCCCGTGCCTCGGAAAGCACGTAAAGCCGTTGGTACTGCGCCTGATCTCTCTCCGATCGTGTCGGTTTACCGTCCCATCGGACTTTGAGAGTGAGGGAATAGAGAGTGCACCTGTGCTTGCGCATACACTTGGGCACTGTAATCCTGTCCTACGCCGATTGCTAGTCTCCGTTGAGACTGGCCGTCGTGACCGAAATTCGGTCTGGAGGACATTATTATTATTATTACATCGATATTTATCACGCGATATAAATCGATACTATTTAAAAATATCGATTCTATATATATATATATATATATATATATATATATATATATATATATATATATATATATATATCGATATATTTTTTCCATTGCCCATCCCTACCTACGCCGCTCACGGCACCGACGCGGCGGCCCGGTCGAACCGAACAAGTACCACAAAGAGTATAGTAACTGTCCTTGAAGTACCAGCGCGGCGAAGCGAGATAGCATTGTGTTGCCGTAGTTACTAGTCTGCTTTGCTGCTCATTAGTGTTTGCCTAAATCATTCATATGTCAGTCATTGGAATTTGAACTGTATTTCAATGTATATAAAAGTACCGCGACGCGCACTCGTGTTGTGTACGAATATATTCTGTCCTTTTTTAACTACACTATGTCACAGTCGAAATATGTCAATGACTTTTGGCGGGAACTCCAAACGTGGTGGTCGATTTAATTATTATTACTGGTTTTCGTTAAAATATCCTGTGTAAATATTACCAAAATTTATTTTACTCGGTGTAAATAATTGTACATTTTGTTAATTATTAAAATAAATGAACCGGAGGAACCAGGTGGAACCCCGAAGCGATCCAAAATTGTTCGTAAAAGAGGTACGCAGGAATGTGGACCTGAAGTAGGCGGCGGTGAGGATGACTTTATTCCATTTTTTAAGCCAGCTTATCTGAGACTTTATCCTGAACATTGTACGACTACGGACTTCAAAGTTTTTGTTGAAAGCCAGGACCAACATGTTAAACTTGAAAATAAAAGCCCAGTTTATTTAAATCATATTTTTACTTCGGAGGTGAAAGGTGTGGTAGCTTTACTTAGAGTCAATGCCAACAAAATTGCGGTTGTTTTTAAACAATACAACACTGCAAATAATTTCATCACAAATACAGATTTTTTAACAAAGCACAACTTGATGGCGCATATTCCTGCAGCGCAGATAGAAAAAAACTGGAATCATCAGATATGTGCCTATCAACATTTCGAACAAGGATTTATATACAAAACTGTCTTCGATCTATGAAATTATTTCAGTGAGAAGATTCACGAAAAAAGTGGGTCAAAGTACTGTAGGTCTCGAGACTGTCAGTATAACTTTCTTATCAAATGTTCTGCCCGACAACATCCAATATGACCTATTTTCGTTTATGGTGTTTGAATATGTCCCGCCGTTACAGCAATGCTTCCGGTGCTTCAAGTTCAACCATCCTGCGAAAATTTGTAATGGTAAACAACGTTGCTCGATATGTTCTGGGGAGCATAATTTCAGAGACTGCGCTAAAAAACAGAACCTGTGTTGTGTCAATTGCAGTGGCCCTCACCTGGCCATTTCCAAATCTTGCCCAATAAATATGAAAAAAAAATACTTTAAAAAAAGGGTAAAATTACTTATTCCTCTGTGGCTAATACAATTAAGTCATCTGATTTTCCGTCTTTACCTGCACAGTCGAGCAGCATTGTTAAGACCCTACCATCAATAAGCCAAAATGTACATAAATTAAATAAAAATGTAAAAATTGTAAATAATGTAAATACAGTGCCTGAACTCAACTTGAACCAAACTCAACTTAAGGCTCATATTGCAAACAATAAGAATATTCTAATGGCAATGGTCCAAACTTTAGTTGAATTTGGTAATAAAACAGACTGTGACTACACTGTTCATTAAAGACTTACTTTTAAAAAATCTGTCACATTAATGGATAGTACAATACAAAACATACAGCAGTTATGTATAGCTCAGTACAATACTCAAAGTATACATAGGAAAAAAACCTTTATTGTCTAAATTTTTAAATGAGC